ATGGCTTCGCCAGGCTGTGCGTCGCAGGCAAGGGCTTCGGCCACCCCTTCCCCGAGGGCCTTGCTGCGCGCCACCGCGGGGGCATCGGCCACCCCATCAGCGAGGGCCCCGCCGTTGCCAGCGACGGGGGCGTCGGCCACCCCTCCCACCCAACGAGGGCCCCGCCGCAACGCGGTGACCAGCGCACACTTGCGACGCCCGCCGTGCCGAGGGGGGCGCCGACTGTCAGCCTGCTCGCTGCATGGCGCCCTGCAGCCCCCAGCTCGTGATCGCGTGGTGATCTGCGGCTTGGGGCAGTTCCGCGGTTGCTCAAAACGTCTGCCCCGCCATTGGAGGAAGGGCCTGCCGGGATGCACGCGGAGAACTCACCTCGGGTCCCCCAGCCGATTCGACGAGCAGGGCCCCCTCGCCCCCCCCACCTGGCCAGCCTCCCGAAGGGCAATACGGGGTCGCAGCGGGCCCCGTGCAACTCGCCGTCTCAGCCTTCTCAGGACAGCCAAGGTAGGGCCGCGACCTTGTTGAGGTGGGAGTCCCAGCACGTGGCGCCGCCGTAATCGTTGGGGTGGGAGATCTCGCCCTGGCCCCCCCCAGCCGATTCACCTGGCAGGCTCCCCTCGCCTTCCTCTCAGTCCACCCGCTGGGGGTCTCGGCGGGCTCCGTCCTGCCAGCTGTCTCGGTCTTCCCTAGAGTGACAAAGCGACACCGCAACTTTGACGCAGTAACTGCACAGCCCGCGGCCCGTCGCTTTCCCGTGCTGGAGCCGCTCGTGGTCTGGGCGCAGATTGTCTCGGCCACGTCGGGTCCCGAGCGCTCGGGGGCATCTCCATGTTCGAGCCGGGTCAGCCCCAGAAAAACTGCCACGCTGTTCCGGCTGGATCGGCCATGGCCGCCAAGAAGTCCCGGTCCGAGCCCTCAGGGCTGGACCAGCGGGCGCAGCCAAGGTGTCCGACTGGAGAAGACACGGGGCGGCGTCCCCCCCTGGCCGTCGAGACACGGCGTCTCCAGGCGAAGGGTGCCAGCCGTGGCGACGGAGCGGCACGCACGGCCCCCCCCTTCGGTGGCAACTCATGGGAGCCCCCCATACCATCTTGCTGGCTTTTGCGAATCGACGCTAACCGACGCCAGCCCGCGCTAGTCGGCGCCACCTCGGCGCGGATCGACGCTAGTCGTCGCTCATCAACGCTGAATCGGCGCGGAATCGCATCGATGACCAGACGCTAGCGCACGCGGGTGCGCTCTGAAGACGGAATTGCGAGGACACGCAGTCGGTGTTTCAAAGATGGTGGTCCTGAGGCATGGGGTCCTGAGGACGAGGTGCCTCAAACAATGTACATCCGCCCTTGGATCCCGTCCCATCCTCAGGTCCCCATCCGTCGAACCGCCGACACAAGGTCCCCATGACTTGCTACCGAATCCCCCCCATGCAGACATTGCTGGCACGAGCGCAGGCACGATGGCGAGCAACGGAGAACCGGGCGGCGCCGCCCCCTAACCCATTTGGGCCCAGGGTCCTGTGCGCCTTGAGCGCAGGCGGCGGGAATTTGTCGGGGGCGTCCGAGGCGGGGGGTGTCCCAGAGGGGGGTCCGCAAATCTTGGCCCTCAGCACGTGCGCGGACGAGGGGGGAACCACGGTACGCATTCAACAGACGAAGAGGGGGCAAAACATCCGGGGAGATAGAGCAGGGTGATTGCTTGCGGTGATGCCCGTGACCAGCCCTGCCACCCCGCCCCTCTCCTCCGGTCACGTCACGATTCGCGCCGGCGCCGCGTGGGAATTCGCGACTCTCGAGCATCCCCAAACGGCGCAGGCGCGAATCAAGACGTGACGCCCCCCACACACCCCACGAGGAAAGTCTAGATCCCAGCTGGACGATTCAATTCACAACTAGACGGTCCAAACCCCTACCAATAATAAAACCGGAATCTAGATCCGAGCTATGCACTATGAAAACCGAGTGAGTTCCTTTAAAAGAAGCAATTGGGTTTCCATTGCCAAGACGGCCATGCAACACCAAATTTTACATAGTGGCGGAGACAAAAGACTCGGGTTCGGGGAACTCGGGTTGGCCTGACGGGGCCATCAGTGAAAATGACGAGACCCTATCTGAAATTTGACGCGAGCTCCCGCTGCGGCCATCCCACGAAAACCAGACCGACAAAATCCAGCACGCACTCGTCACAAAACGTCGGCTAACCCGAGCTCTGGCTGACTCGAGTCTACATGACCTTGTCTGGCGGTTGGGATCTGGGCCGTTCCGGTTTTCTCACCGGCTGGGATCTGGACCGTCCGGTTGGGGTCTGGACCATCGGGTTGGGATCTGACCCCATCACCCCGTCCGCCCCTCTCCCCTGTCACACCCGTTACCGCTAATGGATTGAAAAACTGCCTCATATCATGGCCACGGCCATAATCCCCCCCATCATCACCGTGAGACTGGCAAGCGGCCTCCCCCGTGGGCCGCAGCTTTCGAAAGCAATCGGAGGAACGGGATTCGAGGGATCGAGGGCTCGAGGTATCGAGGGTCGAAGGGGCGAGGGTCGAGGATCAAGCCTTCGGAGGATCGCCGGGCCCCTATCGGACGCCCCCGAGGAAAATTGGGGGTGGGGGGCGGCGGGCGCTGGCTGGGGCGGCGGGGGGGGCGCGGGAGAGGTGGTCTCGGATGGCACGGGGGCGAGCAAAGGCAGGCATGCGCCTGGAAGTCGTGGGCCGGGCAGCTGCCGGCCAGCACCGAGTCGTCAGGATGTCTCTGCGAGGTGATCCGGAGACAAGAAGGGCGAAGCTCGTACGGAGAGGACCCTGCGAAGGAGGATCAGGAGGGGAGGCAGAGTGATCTTGGCGGCCGTCTAGCGACCTCTCCTCTGCTCTTGGCGGCTGCCCGCTGCAAGCCACGGCTGTTAATGCTGCAGCGGCCACAGCGGCGGAAAAGGTGAGGAGGCGAGGGGAGAGAGAAGGAAGGCGGAGAGAAGGAAACTGGGTGAGAGAAGGGGGAGAAGATGGGGCGACCGGTCGCTACCGATGGCTTCGGGAGGCATTGAGGCTTGTTTGGGGGGAAACTGCGGCCGCGGCTTCAGGAATTTCCTGTTACTGCGGCCCGACGGTCTTGACCGCGGCCACCTACTGACACGATCACAAGTTACTGACCAACGTGCACGCTGGAGAACCAGCAAATGTAACTATTGAGTGAAATACCGCGCGGCCAACTTGGTCAACGTGACCCTAGCGAGCAAGTGTGGCCTTCATCGCATGCGCCCGAAGCGGTGCCGTCTATATGGTGCAACATGTGAGGGCCACGAGGCGCCCACGGTCGCCAACCAAGCGAAACCTCGCCACGCCCATCCAATTGCGCCAGAACACAAATAAAAACCCCTGAGGGGAAGCACTGCTTGGGAAAAGGCCTTACGACAATCGCTATTGACGAACTAGGACAACCTGCTATCGATTGCGCCCTTGGCGGCCGGAAGTCACGACCTGATATCTGTTGCGCCCTACGCTGTGCACTCCGCGGCCGAAAACATACCAGCGAGGCCCAAACCAGGCCACCGCATGACGAAATGCGCGCCACTCTGAGCAGGCCTCCAAGAAGAGCCCCAGAGGCTTCCAAGAACCTACAGGAGGCTTCAAGATGCCCCAGAGAGGCCCTCAAGCTACCCCCAGGAGGCCCCGAAGGTACTCCCAAGAGGCTTCCAGGAGGCCTCAACAAACTCCCAAGAGGCACCCACGAAGCCTCCGAGAAGCCCTGGAACAGCTGGCTTGGCGCGCGGGAGGCATTTCTTCTCTAGTCCTGGATGCTCGATCTGATGAGTGTGCTCAGATGTTCCGGATCCAAGCGATCCTTGCTACTGAAGAGGCCCAGGGACACACAAGTAAATACACATAAATCCGAGGATTCCTCATATTTGTCTATATCTTTTGGTTTTTCGTATTCCCCCCCACTTCCGATACTTTCGCATATGTTCGAGGGAATCGAACATTAATTGTGTCGGTGTGTGTTTGTTCCTCCTGAGCTATGGCTACCGGCAAGGGTCCAGACACGGGGTCGGCAGCTCCGAGAAGGGAGGGGCGGGACAAGAGCTCAAGGCACAGCTTTTTGCGGATCTCTTGTGTATCGCTTGGTCAGAGTGAAGATTGCACTTGGGGGCAGGAGGAGAAGAGGTGCCCACTCATTCACTATTCTCCCTTCAGCTGCTGTTCAGGGCCTCTTGCGCTGACATTTCTTCGTGCCGACGGCTTGCTCCGTTCTCGCACTGGCGACGTCATCCCATCCAGCAGAGGTTACGCATGTCTGCACCGACACTCCTTGTCACATATGCGTCGTCTCTGGCGCCCTGTCGGCATGGTCTCTGGTGGCTCTCTGCATTCATCTATGGCAGACGCAGTGGGAGATGAGGGCACGAGGCGGATGAGTGTGAAGGAGTGTGCAGGTCTCGCTCAGCACGGCCTGCGGCCGCTCGCACCCACCTCCCTCCACCCTCCTCCGTCCTCCTCCCGCAGCAGCTCCCCCCTGCCTCGGCCACGATGGCGACGACGGGCCCCGAAGGCCGCTAAGACAACAGTGGCACCGGAAGGCCGGAGGCGCGGATGAATTTTTCTGAGAGCGCCGCCTCCTTTCGCCGGTTTTGCCACGGCGGGAGTTCTGCGCGCGGGGGGGGGCCCTCCAACTGACAGGGAGCCCCCCCGGCGAGTGCTCCCTGGGGCGCCGTGGACCTCGGCCAGCGGTGTGCGGAGAGAGCTCCGAGGTGTTCCCCCACGCCCTTCCCCCGCTGCGGTCGGCCTGGGGCCCCATCGGAGCCACTGTGCATCGGTGAACGGGGGGGGGAGAGGGCTGGGGGGGGGGGCAGGGTGAGGGCGGTGGTGGGTCGGCGGTCGCTGCACTGGGGAGGCAAGCCCAAAGCAGGGCAGCATGCACAACGACCACAACGACGATGGAGACGAGGTGCATCCACGATCGGACCCGAGGCGGGGGTGACGAGGCCGCAGAGTGTCTGCCGATTGGCGCCTCTTCATCTTCCTCTCCCTCATCCTCCTTGGCCAGTGCTCTGCATGGTGTTTATCCTGGTCATGTGGTGGGCGAAAGTGGCTAGTGTCTCGACATGCGCGCCAAGCGCCTCTGCACCAGGGTGGGTCATCAACCTGAGCCAGACAGCCCGCCGTCTTGTTCACCTCTATCCGACGGGGGCCTCCTTGCCATAAGGGCTGCTGCCGGATTAGCGTGAGCCGACGCACGGGTGGAGGGAGAGGGCCTATCCTGTGAGACTCAGATGGAAAGAAGGGAGGGAGACGAAAGAGGGGAGTCAATGATGGATGGTCTGGGAGCTTTGGGCACTGTGTTGGTCTCGTGGAGCGTCGCCGTCGCCACACTGGATCCGCATCGAAACTCTGATCGGCACGCGCTCTAGGACAGGACGCATGGCTGATTTTCAGGGGGGGACGAGTAGACAGGAAGGAGCGGAGGGACGCGGTGGACGTTTTGTTTTTCGGCGTTTCGACATTGGGCGAAAGGGGGGGGAGAGGGGGGGGCTGGCTCCGGACCTCTGCTTAGTGCGACTTTTTGGAACCGTCGTCCTATGGGAAGGATTCCACCTGCTCGAAACAGGCGCCCAAAACAGCCAAGATCTACTCCACGGGGGGGGGAGTGGGGGGTGCGAGGGCCCGCGCCGATCGGCAAAAGAATGAGTAAAAAACGCTCACGTGGAGGGATGGGACTGGAGAAGTGTTTGGGGACCATACCCTGGTACTCTGGCGCTGCACTCGGTGGAGCGGCCTCCCCCAGTCCGTGGGCCCCTCCCCGTCATTCGTCCGTCGGCAGCCCTGCATGCGAATTCCAATGCTACCGCTATGTACACAGCGCAAGGAGGAGGCAACGACAGCCTTGCAGAGTGAGAGAGAGAGAGACACAAACAAAAAAGAGGGGGAAAAAGAGAGAGAGAGAGAGAGAAAGAGAGAGAGAGAGATAACAAGGGGGGACGGGATGGAGGGAGGGATGGGGGAAGTCTGTGGAGCAGGCTGGACCACGTAAACAAGAAAGAGGAGGGGAAGAAGGAAGAATGGAAGCCTGGGACGTCCGCACAGAGGAGTGAGAAGAGGAGGCCCATGTTTACGTCTTCGTTGCGAATCTCCCCCCAGGGCGTGGACCCTGACGTCCACGCCTTTCTCCTCCACCTCATGCTCTTTCCTCCTAATCCTCCTCCAACTCCACCTCCTCCTCCTCCTCGTCCTCCTCTTCCCCACTCTCCTCCCCACTCTCCTGTACCCCTCTTCGTCCTTTTCGTTTCCCGACCTCCCCCCCGAATCTACACGTTCCACCTCCTTCCCTAGTCCCACTCCTCCGCTGCTCCCCCCCGCACCCCCCTTTACACCTCCTTCGCTTGGGCAAACCGTGGGGGTACCCAGAGGCAGACAGAACCGCCGCGCAACACGACAGTGGCAGGTGGTCCTTTGACGGGCCTGATGGTGGCTCTGCACTGCAGACCCGTGCGCAACGCTCCAGAAGACGGGAACTGGCAGACCAGGAGGGTGCAGCAACTCGCAAAACAGAAGCGGGGAACACACAGCCACAGTGAAAAGGATGGGATGGGAGCGGGGAAGGAGGGATGATAAGGTGAGGGGATGGGGCGACCATAACGACTGTTCCACCCCACCCACCACCCACTGTAGCCAGCCCGCCCACCTCGGGAGACGGATGGCCGTCGCCGCGGTGGCCGCCACAAAATGGTTACCTGGTGCGACGGCCCCCAAAACGCAAAGCTACTCGAGCTGAGGCGCCAGGGGAAAAGCTGCTAAGTGAACGTGCGGAGCACTTCTGTTTCAAGCAGTCTTTGTCCAGAACGCTGTGCGCGGGGGGGAGTCCCGTACTCGTGCTGGTGTTGTTCCTCCACCTCCACCTCCACCTCCGCCTCCTCCTCCTCCTCCTCCTCCTCCTCCTCCTCCTCCTCCTCCTCCTCACCACTCGAACCGTCATGATCGCCCACGCTACCGGGCTGCAAATCCGCGCCAGCGGGAAACAAACTGAGCTGCGCGCGGTAGCTCCACCAGGCCAGAGTCGCGAGAGGCCGCTAAGCCAAAGTCGCGAACTGAATCGCGAGAGGCCGATAGGCCAACGTCGCTAGGCCTGAATCGCGAAGGGACCCATGGGACAGACTCGCGACAGGGCCGAGAAACAGAGGATCATAGTCGTCGCCGCCGTCCCCCGCTGGAGGGAACGAATGGCAGCTCCTTGGGGTGTTCGTCGAGCTCCGCACACACCACACACACACACACGAAACACACGAAACACACGAAACACACAAACACACACACAAACAAAAACACACACACACACACACAAAACACACACAATTACATAGTTCGGGCTGAATCGGCAGCGTACGAACCGCCACAAGTGCCGAGCGCAAGCGGTCTCAGACGGGGTGTCCTGTAGACCGTCACGCGCATAAGAAGGAGTGGGCGTGCGACCTAGGCCGGCCGCGTGCGAGCCCCAGTCAGGTAGCGCCAGAAATTTCTCTGCCCCGTGCACCTGACGCCCACCTTCCTGGCCTGAACAGAAAACTGTGGCCTTAGCAAGGGGGGCGTCACGGTTGCGAGCGCGGCGTCGACGGCGCGACGGCGCGAAGCTCACCCATATAAGCCTTCACCCCAAGATGGTCCTCATCGCGGGTTCAGCGAAAACCGCTCCGCGTTTCACTCCCGATGTACCCATGCCCGCCAAGATATCAGACAACTCAGAAATGCTGAGATGTTAGCGGATAGCGAAGATGAGCTCGTCATGGGCATTGAATCCCGCGGCGCGTGGGACCTCCTTCAGGCGCTGCACCTGCCTCGCCTCCGCGTCCGTCTGCAAACCGTGGCCCTCTGTCCCCCCCCCCCCGCGCAGTGTCGCCGGCGTTCTCGATCTCCTCGAGATCTTCCACCTCCTCGTCCGCGCCCAAGCCGTGCTTGCACTGCTACCTGGTCTGCGGGCCCTCCAGCCACGCATTCAAGACCGTCTGCAAGCTGCGGCGCTGCGGCCCCCCCGCCACCCCCAGCTCGGCGCCGCCCGAGTCCCCGCCAGCTATAGCTTTAGAGCTCTACGGGTGCTACCTCATCAGAGCATGCAAAAGAGCAGGACACCCAGCCGCGAGAGAGGCGACGGGCGGCCCCAGGAAGACGGGCCAGCGGTCCCCAAGGCCCATCGAGGCGGATGTCGAGGTCCGAAATCTGGCGACGGGCGGCCAGCTCATGCGCGGACCTCCCGAGGTCCCGAGCCTCGGCTTCAGAGGCCAGACAGGGCAAACCCTCTCAGCAAGACAACTCCAGGGGCCTCACGCGCTCAGGGAGCCTCTCGGCGCCCCTGGGCACCGCAGGGAAGAGCAGCCTCGCCTAGCTCCATGGTGTTCAAAATACGTGGTCGAGACCTGCACTTGCCGCCACCCGCGTCGATCACCAGGCTGATGTGCGCCACCTCGAGGTTCTCAGGCCCCACAATGCCCTCGACCACCACCTCGATGTCTTCTGGCCCCACTGGCCGTCGATGGGTGAGCTTTCTGTCCATGCCACGCTGCTTGCCCAACGCATGCTCCAAGGTGGACAACAAATTTGCCACAAACGGGGATCTGACCCGGGTCAATTCAGACTCAGCTCAGTCGGGCTTTGCAGGATCTGACAACACGCTGCAAGATACAACAGGATCCTGCGCCCTAGCCCGAGTCAGCGCAACTCTGGTTCTGCAGGATCCTGCAAGATCCGGCGCTCTGGCTGACCCCCGTTGGCATTGACCCCCGTCCCTCGGGCTCCGAGACATCCTGGACTCAGCCCGAAAATTCATATCATATACCCAAAAGCTCCCAGGGGCGGGCGAGGGTCCTCCTCATGGGTCTGGTGTACAAGAGTCCCTCCCTGGGGCGTCGTTTCTGCACGTACTCTGACAATGGCTTCGGGCGGTGGAATCTGATTGGGGCGGGGAGGGTGTGGTATGCAACAAAATCTGGAGGCTGGACCTGCACACGCCGGACAGCGCGAGCAGCACCACCCAACCGCCGCGCGGCCGCCGAGCAGCGCCCAGCGCGTTCCGCGGGCAGCGCGCCTGCGCCGCGGCGCTGGATGCCCCCGCCCTCCGCGGGCGGCCTGATGGCGCGGCGCGGACGCGCGCCCGCCGCGAATGGGGCCCCCCGCGTCGACAGGCAAGACTGTTCCTCCACCTCCCAAACTCCTCCCGTCCTCTTCCTCCCTCCTCCTCCTCATCCTCCCTCAGCCTCCTCCTCCTCCTCCTCCTGCCATCCTCCTGCCCTCCCCTCTCGTTCCCTCCTCTTCCTCCTCCTCCTCCTCCTCCTCCTCCTTCCCCTGCTCCTCCTGCTCCTCCCCCTCCTCCCCTCCTCCTCCTCCTCCTCCTCCTCCTCCTCCTACTGCGCCAACTCCTCTCCCTCCTCCTCCTCCTCCTCCTCCTCCTCCTCCTCTCCTCCTCCTCCTCCTCCTCCTCTCCTCCTCCTCCTCCTCCTCCGCCTCCCTTCTCCTTTTCCTCCTCCTCCTCCTCCTCCTCCTCCTCCTCCTCCTCCTCCTCCTCCTCCTCCTCCTCCTCCTCTCCTCCTCCTCCTCCTCCTCCTCCTCCTCCTCCTTCTCCTCCTGCTCCTCCTCCTCCTCCACTTCCTCCTCCTCCTCCTCCTCCTCCTCCTCCTCCTCCTCCTCCTCCCTGCCGCACCCCGAGGCCAGGTTTTAGGGCAGGCCTGAGACTTCCTCAACATGTAGGATCCTGAAGCTTAAACGTTGACGGCACTTGCACATATGGAGGGCGGGTGGATTTCAAACCGTGGCTCTCGCCTGAGCGCCGCGCACTGTCGACTCTAAGATTTGCCCGAATTTCACGGATTGGAGGCGGTTCCTTTTCAAAATGTGGCTCTCGCCTTAGCGCCGCGCACATTCGCTTTTTATATGGACCAAAATTCTACTGATTCCCATGAAGGATCGCCATGACGCAATAGTCAGGTTGATCCGTGGCATTGGAATCTCGAGAAACATGTGTTGGCATGCTTCAGGGTCTTCAACAGGTTGTCTTCCAACGAGGCAGTGTCCTCAGTGGAAATGAACAGTTGTAGGGGCCTATGAAGAGGGAGCTTGGAGGGATGGTTTATTCCTATATCGTTGATGACTCTTGGGTTTTACGCTGGTCCTCCTCCTCCTCCGCCTCCTCCTTCCCCATCCCCCAAAGTCGGCCCCCGGCCCCCGCACCTTGACCGAGAAAGAATGCGGTGGACGGGGTGCGGGCGGCGCCGGCGCGCTCCTGCCTTCCCCCCCCCCAGGATCACGAAGGGAGCGCGGCCGACTGCTCCGAGGCAGGAGGGCAGCACGGGTGCACGGGGGCCCGGAGGCGTGCGAGAAAAAAGCCGCTTAGGGCCTCGACGCGCAAAGCTCGTGTGGCAAGGGGCCAATCGCACTCAGGCCGAGCTAAGCGCGGAGCGCGATGATAGGGTGACAACGTGCGCCAACCTGGCGCGCGGGAGTGGCTCATTCCAACCACCACCACTTGAGCGGCTTGTCGTTAACGTTCTGGGGCCGCCATCTCAGCTCCCCGCCCTGCGTGGCCTTGGGGCGTGATCGGAGGATTCAGGAGGCGGACGCAGGCGGAAATCCGGAGGTAAGACCAGGAGCGAGGTCGTCGGCTGCAGGTCGACAGTCTCGTCCTCTCTACGGCTGTTACCCTCGCTGACCTTCACACCGTCACGTTCGGGAGGTGTGGCAAGGGCTCCACCGTATAGGTGCTATTCGCTGTGCCGCGCGCAAGCGCGGCTCGAGCCACCTCGGTCACCGTAGCCTTCGCAAGACCCAGCTGGAGTCACAGCCCGTGAACTCGTGTCTCGTTTTTCGGCGGCGAGCCCAGGGAGGAAGTGAGAAGTGGCAGGCCTTCGCAGAAGGCTCGAGAGTCCCCGGGCGTTCTGAGAAGTTTTCTGAGCCTTCCCCGAAGACGCAGAAAACCTCCCAATGGCGCGAGGGATTCTGCCGTCTTCTGAGAAGGACTAATTCTTCTCACTTCCCCCCCCCCCCCTCCTCGCTTGCCGCCGAACATTTTCTTGCGCCCTATCTGCCCCCTTTGGGGCCCTAGGGGGCGCCCTGAAGGGCCCTCAGGAGCCCCTTTTCTGCAGCCCTCGCTGCCCCCCCCTATAGATCCCCCCCCCAATGGCGCGACGCCCAACAAGGGAGGCTGGGGAACCGCCCTGGTACTGGGGAGTGCGCAATCAAATCGATCGATGCCGCGCGCAAGGATCGGAAACGTCGCAGCCCTCGATACCCCCCATGACGAAGCGCCCGACGCATCGTGCGCGGGGCGCGCAAGGCAGATAGAGAGAGAGAGAGAGAGAGCGTGAGATCACATCGTGGTGGGACGTGTTCGGAAGGTTACAGTCGGACCGAGGACAGAAGAATATCCTTCAAGAACATGAGACCCTTCGCCAGCCCAAACAGAATAACACTCGAGGGTGCCTTCCCCCAAGATGTACAAGCACATCCAACAGGCACGAAGAACATTAGGGTACCCTCTCCGAACCGACCTTGATCCGATACGCCAGTCCGACTGTACCAATGGTGTCAGGAGGTGGTGGGGGAGGGGGAGGCGGGCGAAGGCGAGGACTGTACGGAGGAGGGTTGAGGGATAGGAGAAGGGGCGATGAGAAGGAAGGATACGGGTAAGCAGGGGGGAGAAGACGGATGCGAGGGGAGGACAAGGAGGACAACACAGCACGAGGATGAGAAGAAGGGGGAGCCGGAGGGAAGGCAGGGGAGATGGGGTGAGAGGAGGGGAGGAGGCGAAGGAGGGGTAAGGGTAAGGTGGAGGACGGAGGAGGTGGAGGAGGGAGGAGGAGCAGGAGTAAATGACGCGAGTACAGGAACAGGAGGAGGGGAAGACGGGCGTCTCGGGGGCCTCGCCCAATAAGGAAAGCCGGTCCCCATCCCTCCTCTCTCTCCTGTTCGTTCGCTGCGGGCGCTGCGACTGCATGGCGCGGCCCGCCCCAGAAACCACGAATCCACACATGTTGACGTCTCATTGTCACCTCCGCCGCCTTCCTCCCGCCGACTCGGGCGTGAATTCAAGGGGGACGGAATCGGGCCGAAAGATAACACAAAAAAAACAAAACAAATGTCACAAATAGTTGTGACTAATTATCCTTGAACACTCCTCCCGCAGAGGGACATGCCCGACTTACACTGTATTGGGGGGAGAGGGAAACGTGCACCGTTCGTGCCCCTCTTGGGCCCCAGGGGGGCCCTTCTGGGCTTCTGGGGCCCCTTAGGGCACAACAGGTGCACCCATCTTCACCCCCCCCCCTGCATGAGGCAGAAGGATTTCGTCACGTGATGCGCAGTCCCCTCCCTCCACCTGATCCTCCTCCCCTTCCTCCCCTTTCTCCTCCTCCTCCTCCTCCTCCTCCTCCTCAGATTCGCATGACGTGACGGATCCAAGTCGCCGATTCATGCCACCCGATTCTGCCGGCGGAAACGGGTGGCATGTCGGTCGGGCGTCGAGTGATGGGAAGACGATGAAGAAGGTCGGTGGTTCAAAGATGGGGTCCTCAGGGATGGGGTCCTGAGGATAGGAAGGGCTCCAGGGGCAGATTGACGTTGTTTGAGGCTCCTCGTCCTCAGGACCCCATCCCTCAGGACCCCATCTTTGATGAACCACCGAACCTCGACGCCCGACCGACATGCCACCCTTCTCCGCCGGCGGACCCGAGGCCGCTCACCTCCGCCGCCTTGCTTCCGCCCGCCCTCCGCCGGCTCCCGCAGAGGGCAGGGGCTCGCCCCCGCCGGGCGAGCACCGGGAGGCGGGCGGCATCACGGGGGGGCGGCACCACGGGCGAGCACAGGGAGGCGGGGGCACCAAGGCCGAGGCCCTTCCCGGGCGAGCACCGGGAGGCGGGCGGCACCGCAGGGGGGCCGCCTTGAGTATGTCGTCCTCCAGCACGTACCAGCGGCTAACCCAGTGGACGGTGCCCTGCGAGGGTCTGTTTCTTTCCCGACGACGACCCCTCCGACGTCGGAGTCACGTCACGAAGGAACTGCAGCAAAATGGCGACACAGCGTGAGAACGTAGGCGCGCCGGTGCCCTGCGAGGGAGGGGGGCTGCGCGACCAGCGATGGCTGACGGACCGGACGGGCCAGGCCGTCCTCCTGAAGGCCCCCGCGGCCGACCCCTGCTACGGAGGGTGCACGTCGCGAGCATGTCGACTTCTAATTCTGAGACCGCGCGGATCCTGCAGCCTTGGACGATCGGGCATTCGGAATTCGGGTAGCGCAGATCGTTGGATATCGGCCGATTCCTGGCCACTGGAGGCGTCCGAACTTGAACGCTCGCGCTGGAGTTGCCGCCGCGTCAACGCGGCGCGAATCCACAGTACAGGCTCACACCATGAACACGCTGTGAGACTTTTGGGTAATCTCCGATTCAACGCCGACATCCTGAGGCGCCATTGGACCTAAACGCCAAAGAAGAGTTCAAGAGAACGCCTACCGAAAGAAGACTATCCTGTGCATTGCCGTTTCGGTCATCGGTGGGGACTCCCGCCAGCAGGAGGTGGGTCGAGGCACTGTGACAGCCGTTCAGGGGCTCTGGTCGATGTCCAGCTGCTTGGACGATGCATTCCCATGCCGAGACACTGGCCACTGACAAAGACCGCTCTCACACCGATCCCAAAGTGTACCACAAGGGCAGTTCGAGGACACTCCCTCTCTCGCCCAAATTCAAAGCTGGTGATCGTTGGGGCGGGCATTGACCGATGAGTGTGACATGGGTAATCGCAAACCTCCTCCGACGCCTCAGGGGCAGACTCAGGGCCCTCTAGAACCTTACTCGGACTTCTAGGGATCCATTTAAGGTTTCGTAGACCGTCTTGGGGGCCCCTTTGGCAGTCTTGGGCCCCTCTTGGCTGTCTTGGGGTCTCTTCGGAGCCTCTTGGTGTCTTGTTGGGCCGTCTTGGGGGCAGCTTGGGGCGTCTCGGTGCGATCTTGGGGGCCTGTCGGGCCGATCAAAGGGCCCTGAAGCTCGAAAGCGAGAGTAGTTCGAAATCCTTACGAAACCTTATGAAAACAATGTCTTTGGTCTCTGGGGGCCCCCTTGGGGGTCCTCGTGGGGCCCTCCGGCTGCGTCTTGGGCGCCTCTTGGGCAGTCTTGAAAGCATCATGAAAGCCCTTTTGAGAGCATCTTTTGGGCCGTGTTTGGTCCCTCTTGGGCAAGCTCTAGGTCCTCTCGGGCCGTTCTGAGGCTCTATTTGCAACGTCTTGAGCTGCTTTGGGTGTCTTTCGCGCCGCGAGGACGCCGGGGGGCCACACAAACCCGCACACCGTAATTCCATGTTCCTTGTATATATATATATATATATATATATATATGCTTGGCGGATTCCTGGGCGCCAGCCTTACAGATTCACAGCACTTTTGCTCCAGACCGACCATGCTGTCAATCTGTGTGATTGCGGCCCAGAGCCGCTCGCATCTAGATGCCTCAGCCTCGCAGAGGTTGCCCCCCGCGAGGCAATCACAACTCCAGTGCAAGTGTAGAAAGGCTCTAACAGCAGGGTGGGACAAAAGGGGACCGAGGGAGGGAAGCTTGAGCATTGATGCAACGACGGTCGCAACGGCGCCCTCTCATCCTATCTCGCAGAGAACACCAGGCACGCCAGAGCAATCTATGCTTGGCGGATTCCTGGGCGCCAGCCTTACAGATTCACAGCACTTTTGCTCCAGACCGACCATGCTGTCAATCTGTGTGATTGCGGCCCAGAGCCGCTCGCATCTAGATGCCTCAGCCTCGCAGAGGTTGCCCCCCGCGAGGCAATCACAACTCCGAACCAGAAAGCAAACACTGAAACTTTGCGAAACTCTCACACTGGCCTTCAGGCCGCATATCTAGTTAAAGCACAGCAAGCTTTATTCCGCAACGCTTGTTTGTAGGCTCTACCAAGCTCCACGCAAAGCCCTCTGGGATACGGTTCGGCGATGTGGGTGAGAAATCGCCCAGTACTGTCTTTTCCCTCAAGCACCCGGCGCGGGCACTTCGAAAAACTGCAAACGCCGCGGCCTTGGCACTGGGCCCCTTTGAGCCCGGCAAGGTCGAGATGACAAAACCGAAGGCGGGTTCGCTTACGCCACGGGGTCCCGAAAGCGCAAAAATCAACATCTAGATCGAGCACGTTACTGGAACAGGCGAGCGCTTTGGCCCCAGGGAGACTCCAAAGCCAAGAGGTCGAAGGATTCTCGATAACCACAGGGACCTTAAGAGATCTGCACAGGGAAAAGAGGCCAAAGCTGAAACGGGCTAAACGGTTACCACGGGCAACCTTCAGACAGTCGGCGGGATTCAGGTGAGGGAGTCCAAGGGGGTGCTCAGCGTCTCGAAGCGGCGGAGGTCCATTAGGCCGATTACGAGCACGCGACAGTGACTGACACGGAGTAGCTATCCACACACCCAGGAGCATTTTGCTTCGCACCCAGCCCCTGACCAACTTCTGAATTTTGCTGGACAAGACATCGGCAGCAGCGTCATGGATAATGTCCAGTTCGAAGCAGGAGAGACCCCTCAGGACTAACCGAAACGATCGAGAGAGGTTGCCGCTGCCACTGAAGACTTCCAGCATCACTTGCTGTCCAGATTCGTTCACACATCGAGCTAGGTCGCGCAGAGGACGGCGCCAATTGTATCGAGGCTGTGCCTGGCGATGCCCCGAATGTGGTTAGGGAGCATGTTTAGCCGTTCTTGAACCCGTCTTGCCTCGGTGTACCGCCTCACGACCTGATCTGTAGCCCACCGACCTCTCTTTGTTATCTCGTCTTGGGTGAGGGCCCGCACCAGCAGCTTGTGGCTCGCCTCTTCGTGCCAGGGGAAGGCGGGGCTGTCTAACACCAGCGAGTCGTCGTGCACCCCCGTCTGGCCTGCTACCCCGCTTACCCTCAGATGAAGCGTCATGCTCCAGGTCCTGCGCGGGCCTTTGAGCAGCACTGACGGCGGCGCCAGGCTGTGGGTGGTCAGGGAGAGCGCCTCCGACGGCCTCAAGTGCAGGGCGAAGGCCACGGCCGTGAGTTTTGCCAGCGCTCGCTCCCTGGCCTGAACTAACTGGCGGATGACAAGGCAGCAGGTGGCCCACGGCAGCCGAAGCCTCGACCGAGGCGGAGCCCGCGTGCGCCATCCCCGAGCAGCTCGGGTCGCACACGGCAGGCTGCTGTACTCCAAGCCCAGGTGGCACCCCGCGAAGGCCAGCGACGCGAAGAGCTTCCTCGCGTCCGTGCTCTCGCCCCCCATCAGGAACTGCTCGCGGAGGTGCATCGCCAGGGTCTCGTTCAGTTGCTCCTCGGCCACCGTCTCCAGGCGCGAGTGCTCGGCCCAGAGGTAGAAGCGGTGGGCTCGCCTCTCGTAGTCCTGGCGGGTGGCGGCGGCCACCGACTCCTGCTCCAGAACCGAGTGGCTCTCTCCGGGCATCGGAACGATATCCCGGCTGCAGCCCTGGCGGCGCGGCAGGCGCCTGGCAGCTTGGCGGCCCCCCTCCACGCGAGCTCGGACAGCAAGGCTCGTCGTAGAGGCTGAGGCCCGGCGGCGGCGAGACGAAGCCACGGCCGCGCTGGTCCTCGGTCCTCCCCGACTCCTCGGCAAGCCGCCCGTCACCTGAGCAAGGGCTCCTGCGCCTGGCATCCCCAGCGGCCGCTCGATCAGCTTCAGCTGTAAGGCCAGGCCGGTTCCGCGAGGCTGAGTCTGCATTGTCGTGCTCAGAAGGCACCCAGCGCCAGGCGACGCCGCAGCCACTGCACAACGCTAGAGCTGCGACCTGACGACATACTCGCTGAAGCGGCGCCGATGAGGACCGGCCCTTGAGCAAAGCCAGCAACGGGGCCATAGAGTCATTCAGGATGATATGAGTGTGTCTGAAATTTCCAGAGCTCCGAAGAAGGTGCTTTAGACAGCTGACCAGAGCCCTGCCCTCAAGGATAACCTGGGGCTCCTCACGCTCCCAAGGCTTCGAGAGAATACGCTTCCAGACACCACCCCAGACCTCCTTCGAGACGCTCCTGAACTTGGCCTCTGGGGGCTTCGGGAAGACCTTGATGGGCCCCTCGAACATCAGGCCCTGCGAGGCCTTCAGGACACGGTAGGGCTCGGTGAACCCCGTGCTCGTCTCGGTCTCCTCGGTCTCATCCTCCCACATGCCGATGTCGAAAGCTCGGGGAGGCATCGACTTCTCGTTGTCTCGCCCAAACCTCCATCGCTCGTTGAAGGACGACAACTCGACGACCTGATCGCGCGTGAAATCCCTCTCAGTGATTCCACCCCCCCACCACGAGGCGTCCACGCAAGAGACCACCTTTGAGAGAGGCCTGCCCGCGTTTCTGAAACATAGGACCAACAAGGACTTACACCACCGCAGTTCACGTCGAACGGATCCCCAAAGACGTAAGGACCTATGACCAGCCACGCGGATGAACGAGTACACGGCACCCAGAGCGCTCAAGAGTTCCCGCCTGATGAGGCCCCGAGATGTGTAGTGCGATATGACCCTCCGGAGCGTGTCCCCAGTACAGCGGTCTTGCCTCAAGATCTCCTGGATGCCCAGGCGCAACCTCCACCGTAAACGAGGATTCAGCCCGATGACAGCATCACTTGAACCAAACTCCCAGCCCAAAGTCTGACCGCCTACTCCCTCCTCGACCTCATGCGTAGGCAACCCGACTCGATTTAGTTCGCGGCCCACGGCCCGGGCGATGTCCCCAGCGCGCTCCATAGACCGTGACAGTGAGACAAAGTTGTCAACGTACTCAGTGTGAATGAAATCATCGTTCAAACTCGGGGCTGGTCGACGATCAACAAGGAGGTTATGTGTACTGACGCCCGGGACTAGAGAACTGATGTGCTCATTCAAGGTCTGGCAGATCCAAAGGCTCACGCTCCAACCCATGGGCGGACATCGGAAACATGGAACCACCTTTTTGCGAAGGATGAACGGGGGTACC